TAAAAAATAAAAAAGGAGTGGAAGTGTAGCTCAGTTTGAAGATCCTGGGCTCAGTCCCCAGTACCACACACACCCAAAAAGGTACCTGTTCCATTCTAGCGGGAAGGGGAGGGGCAGGTTTGTTAAATGGTGAGGGATAAGCAATTGCAGTCAGAAGAGGTGGGTAGGAAGAGTGCTTATGTTTGTTTTGTTTTTATTTTTCTTCTGGTACCGGGAATCGAACTCACAACCTTGCGCTTGCCAGGCAGGTGCGGTGCCGCTGAGCTAAATCCCCAGCCCCCAGGAAGGGTGCTTATGGTCAAGAGAACAACATGTGCAAAGGCCCAGAGAAAAGGGACAGCCAAACCTCTTTGAGAAACTAAGCAGAAGTCCATCTGTCCTGTGTACTGGCCTGGGGGAGGAGCAGAGAAACGTGACACCCAAGGAGAAGGCGGGGCCTAAGCCCAGCGCAGAGCTGGGGTATGGAAGGCTCAGGTGGCACCTCTGAGGAGCTACCTGCCCCCTTACTTCTGCAGCCACCACCACAGAAAGCCTGGTGCTGGAAGGGCTCACCTTTGGGGACGGAGCTGTGCAGAGGGTAGAAGAAATCCAAAGCAGCTGGAGGTAGCTGGAAAACTCCCGTCACAGCACCTAAGACATGAGCTTTAGCCAGGCACATAGCACACACCTGTAAACCCAGCTGCTCGAGAGGCTGAGGCAGGTGGATCTCAAGTTTGAGGCCTAGCTGGGCAACTTAGCAAGACCCTAACCCAAAATAAAAATAAAAAAGGTTGGAGGTGTATCTCAGTGATAGATTGCCTAGCATACGCAAGCCCCTCTGTTAATCCTCAGGGTTTTTTTGTTTTGTTTTGTTTTTGTGGTTTCTTTTTCTTTTTTTTTTTTTTTGTCTTTTTGAGACAGGGTCTCACTATGTGGTTCAGGCGGCCTTGAGCTCACTTTGTAGGCCAGGCTGGTCTCGAACTCACAACAATCCTCCTGCCTTAGCCTCCCTAGTGCTGGGATTACAGGTGTGTGCCACCACGCCCTGCTTCAATCCTCAGTTAAAATAAAAAAGTATATGGGCTCTGGTAATAAAACAGAACAGCAGACATTATACACCTGGATGGAAGGGGACAAACACCTCATCCTGGAGTCTGCGAAAGTATCTCATTTGCATCTGATCATGCCTCGAGATGCTGCAGGAAATTCTAGGGTAAAGGAACACGCTCCCAGCAGCAGAATCCAGACTGGGAACCTACACAGGTCAACTGACAGGGATTCTTCAAGAGATCAAGCATAAGAAGCAAGGAGGGGTGGGAGGGGAATTAAGTGACCTGAGACGCTGGAGACGTAGCTCAGGGGTAGAGCTCTTGCCTCACATGTATGAGGCCCTGAGTTTCATCCCTAGAACAGCACACACACACACACACATACACACACTCCAGAAAGAAAGAAAAAAAAAACACTAGAAGAGACTTAAAAGATAGCAAATTTTTAAAAATGGGTCCAACTGAATGAGAAATGGTGTCCAGGGAGTGCGCCTGAGTGGAGAAGCCATAAAGAAACATCCAGCAGGGTGGTTAAAATGGTGCTCACTTTATATAATTCACTAGCTTGTCTATTTGTTCTGTGTGGTTTTCTGTTTGTCTTGTCTTATAATAAAAATGCTTAAAAAAAAAAAAAAGCCAGTATACACATAAGAGCCAGCTCCATGGGTTCAGATCTTAGCTCTGCCATTTCTGAGCTGCGTCATCTGAGTCAATGATCAGCCCCTTTGGGTCTCAGTGTTCTCAGCAGTAAGAGAGGAGTGACATGTCAGGGTTCTGAAAATCAGACAAGACAGTACAGTTAGCTCTCCTGAGGATTCAACCAACCACGGATCAAAAATACTTGAAGAAAGAAAGCCAGGTATAGGGCTGCACATTGCAAATCCCAGCACCCTGGGAGACTGAGGCAGGAGGATCACAGGTTCGAGCTCAACCTGAGGTGTTTAGAGACTTGGCAAGACCCTGCTTCAAGACGAAAACTGAGGGGGCTGGGGATTTAGCTCAGTGGCAAAGTGCCTGCGTGGCAAGCGCAAGGTCGTGAGTTCGATTCC